CAGAGATTGGAAATGCATAGTGGAATGATTACAAATTGGTGTCATCCATTGTCATTTGTGATAATCCACAGATTAAGACATCTTGAAGGAAAAAGACTTCTTGAAGCATAGTTGCTTACAATTTCAGTCCTGAATTTAGTGAGGGAATATCTGTACTTTGTCTCATAAAATAAGAGGGAAATACCTATATTCTTCCAATGAAGAGTGTGGTCATCGAATTGTTAAAAAGGTAAAGAGTAAGCAAAGTGTCAGGTTGTCAATTGACCAATTCAGGCATAGTCTTTTAAGATACATCTTTGTAAATCTTTGAGTCTCTTATTATGCAGATTTACCATGACTTTTTCCAAATTAATTAATACTATTGGATCTTTTGGGTTTGAAATATTATAAAATATATTTCTTAACATAATTTTATCAAATATTAATTCTTAAGGTAGTTAGAATGCTGAACAAAAGTCTTGCAAACGTAATATCAGCCTAGTTGCTATGTTTTAAGGTAGATATGTACATTTCAGTACCCATCAAACACTTAATAAAAGATGACTCCTCAAGGCAATTTGCAAACTATGGTTTCGTCTAGATATATGTCGGTGTAAATCAGGACCTTCAGTTCACCGTTTTTCTAAACAAGTATGCCATAATCTTTGCTAGCTCTGTTTCCGTGAGGCCATCATAAATCTACCACACTGCACTCAGAACGCAGTCACAGATTCAAATACTTGAAGGTACAATGAGGTATGCAGCAAGTCTATCTTCCTAGTCGGTTCGTAATCTCCATCACCTGTGGGGCATATTTCATTTTAACAAAATCTTAACAGAACTGCACCCAACGCACTTAAAAGCTGCTCCTTCAGTATCATACTTTATTAAAAATCAGCTTTTCTGTTAGCCTACACACATGAAATAGGAATGGACACTCCTTTAAATGTATACACATACGTGGTTGGCACACAACGTCTGTTAAATTAGCCAAGACAGACTTTAGTGAACTGAATGCGAACCTAGATTCAAATGGCATAAGACATTTTTCTCAATTTGCCACTGCTGATATTTAATTTGCTTTGATCTAAACCTGCTAACATTATCCAAGTGAAAGGAGCAACTAAAATGCATTATTTAAGATTTATTTCTAATACTAGAGGTGTCTGCTAAAAGTAAAGGCAAATACATGCATAACAACATTTAATTTTTAGTTTTTAAACTGAAAATGATATATTAAAATCAGAACAAATCTAAACCTTTCCCTTTTCTGGAATTATACTTCATAGTTTTGTATTTATTGAATGCATTCATAGGCTCCCTTAGGATGGGAAATGTATGGAAATATATGTGCATTACTAAAGAAAGAACTAAATTTATTCTTTCCCCACATCATGCTCTTCTTTGCAGTAGAGGTTTTTAATTCAATACAGAGCTAGAATGAGATGGAGCCAATTTCCTGGTCTATATGTGTGACAAATGCTGAAAGTGGCACAAGATTAACAAATTAGTCGAAGTATAGATCTTAAAAGATTTTTTTCCATGTCTCTAAATCATAATTCATACTTTTTTGAAATAAAGCCTTCTTTAGAATTCAATAATAAATAAGGATCTTTTATTTCTCTGCATTTAAGATGAAAAGATGGGATGTACAACTTACTAATCATTTTAAAGGCAATTTTTATTCATAGGAAAGCTTCGAAAGGTCATATATTTGGAATATGAACTTACTGTAGTTGTTGCACAGTGTTTTGGATTAGTAACTCCCAAGTGTGGTTTGATAAAACAGAAAGCATCTTTTCAAAAATAGTTGTTCCCAAAATAAAGGTATAAAATAAAAAGAGCAGGTAAAATTAATGTTTGTATTGTATGGTTAAAAAAAAGTCTAGAACATAAGGGTCTAGATAAATATACTTGCTTTTCTAATAACATGTGTTAGCTTGGTTTTATGTAAAAACTGTCAGGCATGGCTGTTTCACCTAACCTCAGAATCATGTGCTTGATATAATCCAGATATCTAACACCAAACAATAAAAACATCTGTGACAATAAAAGCATGTAACAGTTGTGGAATTGTTTAATTTGTGAGAAAATGGCTATGTTTAATAGTCATATATGCATGGATTCATTTCTCCTCCTTGCTGAGAAACTTTCATATTTTGCAAATTTTTTTTTTATGGAACAACTTATGATATGAGAGAGCTTTGTCAAAGATATTCTGAAATGCATGTTTTGGAATTGGTTCACTCATTCAGCTTTAGAGCTCTGTCATGGTCCACCTGTTTAGCTTGGGCTTAAATGATAGAAAATAACAGCATTTTAAAGCAAGCACAATCTTACGTGTTGTACGCAAACATGATAACACGCTTAAAATTCAAGCAGAGATCTGTGCAGGTTGCACCTCTCAGTCACCCAATCTCCTTTCACATATCTGTTCATGTTGACAGACTATGTCATAATACATCAACAGAAAGATCAGCACAGAAGAACAAAATTTCCTCTCCTGACAGCAAGAGGAAAACTGATTTTCAGTATTAAATTAGTAAAAATATACCATTATCTCACCTCCAGTAAGCCACCTAGCTTTAAAGAATAAGGTGTCTGCTATAATCACAAATATATGCAAAGGCAATTAGACTTGCATATGTCTTTGGTATCATCCTTTGACTGGCAGACCAATTTCATTTTCTTTTTTTTTTTTTTTATATGCTATCTTTTGGGTCTTAGAAGCAACTTTGGTCATTTTTATTAAATGATTTTTTAATGAGACTGGTAGTTTTATGCATGTAAAAATGTCTGCCAAATGTTTTGAAAACTGTCTTCACTATGTTAATCAGCAGAAACCCATTGACCATTGAAATGGAAATGGGTATTCTAGCTTCTGATAAAAGTTAGGTATCTCTTTTTGTATCACATCTTGCTCTGTGTCTGGATTTTAGGAGAAATTTAACAATACCTATAATAAATAATGTCTTTTGCAGCCTAGGGCATCATCTGCCAGTTAGGCTTTAATTTTGCCCCTGTTTGAACACCCTACAACATATGCACTTCTCTTTTGTCTATTATCCTAGAGTTGTGCTATTCCCAAATATTGACATCATCTACTTTTATCAGCATTAACTGCTCTGCAGCTTCCCAGGCTCATGCTCAGCTCTATTTCTTCCTATTGATTATCTTCCTCACTCCAGCAGGTAGCTAGCCAGCGAGGCTGTCCTGAGAAATAGCTTCCAATGACTTTATACGCACAATTTACACGGAATTGTTTAAAGAAGATATTAGCCTCAATACAAATCAGTGAACCTCATTTAGTCAATACTGCACAATTCCGCTGTTGGCACCCTGTCACATGTTAGTCTTTACAGTCAGCTGCTGTACCCAGTCTGCACATCAGCCTTAGGATTTAGTTTCATATTAAAATGAAGCTGTTTTTTTTTTTCTTTTTTGCTTTTGCTTTTCTTTTTGAAATCTTTTCAGTATACTTTTTACATCACCTCACTGAGCCATGTGATAGTAATATATTTTGAAATATAAAAACCTGAGATTAAATGTTTGATTTTTGACAGTGTTCTTAAATATAATAAATTCAAAAGGAAATACTGTTAAGTTAAAATGGAGTGTTTTTCATTAAGTCCAATCAAATGGTAGACAACAAAGGATCTTTTATTTGAGAATATGAAGTGAAAATGAAAACCAGAAAACCTTTACTAAGAAAAGGTCTAGCTAAATTATGTTGGAAGGAGGTCTCCAGATTGAGCTTGGGTGTTTCTTTTGCTAAAAGTGAATTAAACTAAGATATGCGATGAAGAAATATCTTACTAAGAAGCAAAAACCTAATGCTTTGGGGAGATGAAAATAAGGTCTAGGAACAGTTGACTTTGAAAATAATTCTAAAGAAAGATCACATATGAAAAAAATTGCCACAGCACTGATCTTTTCTTATAATCATAACAGGCAAATGTTTGGGGTAAAGTAATGCTAGTCCCCTCTTTCTCTTCTATGGCAATGCAGTAAAATTCTAGGAGTGTTTACATTTCAGAATTGCCCCTCCTTAAACTACTGGTTTATGATAGTTAATGAGATGATATCCAAATGTTGAAAACAGGAAAATTCAAATGAAAATCTCAATGTGAAATATAATATAATGAAATAACTAGGCAACATAATACTGCTCAAGATATTTGTGGAAATATTGCAAAATGAACTGCAATACATTAAAATTCTTCAGTGGTTGTGTAATACGTAAGTAAAGGTTTATATATAAAAGCTTTGGCTATCAAAAAAAGGGATCTTTATATCATCTTCTTAGAAAACTTCACTCGAAAACATCATTAAATCTTAGAGTGCATTTTGAAAAGTTGTCATTAAGTGTATTTGCATATTTCTTTGTAAACTGAAATAAGTAAGAATAATGCATACTGATCAAAATAGCCTAGTTGTTCTAAAATGCATTCTCTAGTATCGGTGGCTGGATGACAAAAAGATTGAAGGAATATGAAGGGCAGAGAAAATGATCATTTCAGCTTTGGAAATTTTTAAAAGCCATATATCTTACATTTTAAGTAAAAAGTAAGAATTGAAAAAAATGACAATGTTAAGAAGGAGCAATAGTAAAGAACAGCATTTTGAAAATTAATATAAGGATGTCATTAAAATACAACAATCAAACGGATTACTGTAAATAAGATTTTCTCTTTTTGACTATAACATTTTAAGGGTGATTTTTTTTTTTTAATCTTTGCTTTCTTTTCTTTTCTCTTTAAATATCACTAGGCGGAAGCTGAAACTCTGAAGCCCAGGTAGAACAGACACTAAAAGATGGCCAGTCTATCCTGACCGTACATCTCACGTATTTATTGCAAACTGACACTCACATAACAGCCTTTTTTTAAAAAATCATAAAATTCAGCAAAGAACAATTTAGGTACCCAGGGAAAATCATACTTCAGAAAAGAGAGAAATGCTACAACTGCATATCCGGGCTGAATAAAACAGGAATAGCAAGGATAATTGTAATATTTATGTGACAGCATTTTACCTTTTAAAAGAAATCCATAACCTAAGTCTGATAGTATTTAGGTATCACTGTGTCTATGCATGTATGCAGGTAATCCACAATAAATTCCAGCCCCAACTGAGATACACAAATATTACTGGGCATTTCCAGCTTAAAACGTTCTTTGATTACCATGTATTTATATATTAAGTATATTTCCACCAACTCAATTATTAAAGTTTCAGACTAGTTCATATATCATGTGACACTCTTATATTTAGTAAAATTGGATGCTTACATATTAACTTAAACATAAGAAAACACTCTTAATGAAGAAAATTTAAGCACAAGCAATGAGCACAAATTAAAACCAACAGCAACAAAATAGTAAAATATAAGTTTCAGGTGAACAAAGGTGTTAATATTTTTCTCCAAAATCTTTTTAAATTAACAATAGCACAGTTACATGCAAGTAAATGTTATTTCCATCATCTCAAAACATAAAATTCTGAGTCACGTTCCATAATAACTTCTAAAAGAAGCTAAGTTTTCCAAAATTATTTGGCTTCGATTACCTTTGTAAACGGTAAATAAAGTTAATTTTTGTTATGTCAGTCTGTTAAGACCCACCTGTAGAGGAAACATGATTCTAAATTATAATTATTATAAACCTTATGAATATTCATATTGAGGAGGCATTTAAAGTTTAATATTAAAGACCTATACTGACTATCTCTATAGATTACCAAGCTGATACTAAAAACAGATGCATATCATTTCATTATATTAATTTTTGCAGCTAATCATTCTGGACTGAATGCAGAAATTTCAAATAAATTTCTTTTCCATAAATATATGGATGAGTATAACCTAGTCAGAAGAAACATTTTACATCAGCAGTGAACTTTAATAGCAGCAGTATTGCATTCTTTGAGACATTATCCTTTTTAAATGATTTGTAATCTATGAAAACAAAATACACACACACACATTCACATGACATTTTATCAGGACACATTTTGTTTTTATAATTAGAGTGAATATGAACAAATTAAGGTGATTACTACATTGTCTTCCATTTAATTATGTAGCTTTTAAAACATATAAACACTTTATGTAGTCCTAATTTTACATATTTAACAATGAAAGTATTGTCATTAATTTGTCATAAAATAGAAATGTTTTACAATATTTGTTAGCACATCTATCCAAATTCTAAAGCAATTTTATTAAACTAAAAATATACAAACTGAATAGCTAATTGGGATTTACATCCTAATTTTATTTGATTTCCATATACTTACAGAAAAAACATATAAGCAGAATATCATATTAAAGAAATTAATAGTAGTCTTCTTACACACAGAGTACTTTTATATATCTATTATCTGTGAAAAATACAAATGTAAAATCTATATATACATACACACATATATGGTTCATCTTTGTATTTCTTTAGGGAAGAAGAGCATTCTCATAACAAAGATTTGCATAGGGCTGTCTGTGTATGTGTGTGTGTGTGTGTATGTGCAGAAATGGAGAAAATAAATTTATATTTTTGTAAAGAGATATTAAGGTAGAATATTAACATGTTTTGAAAATGTGTATAAAGGTTTTATGTTATAAAAATAAATATCATTGATCGCTTTTATCTCTCTCCTCTCTCACTCTTTGTGTGTGTGTGTGTATTTGTGTATGTGTACAGCCACTAACAAAAAAGTGAACATTTGAGATAAAAGAAAGAGATAATTGGAGACTTAAGATACTTAGGTTAAAATTACATCAATAAAATTTAAATTTATTTAGTTTTTTGAAAATTGAAATAACTATCAGAAAATGAATATGATAATTAGAACTTATTTGAAATTTTCCTATGAAGTAAAAATATATAGTAAATTTTTCTATTAAATAAAAATATAGTTCAAATAAAGTTGCTTGTCATTTGATTCAGGAATAACTGTTTCAAACCCCCTAGTTTTAGGTATTTTAATCTATATCTTCTTGTTGGTTTTTCAAATTTGTCATTTTTCCATTTTTCTAGGGCAGAAAAGAAAAACATATAGGATTACACATCAAGAATTTGCATAGCTATCTAATAGTTACTTTCTTGGCCACCTCTAAGACCACCCATTTAAACAGATACAACCTCAGTAATGCCAGAACTACAGCATTCCAGATATGCTATTAAATGTTATCTATAGAAAAGAGCACCTTATAGTGAGTATCATTTACTAGTAATTGACTACCTAGATTCCTGACTCCTTTCATTTTAAATACATATATTTCTGTATAAAAGAACCCTATTTGAACTGTTGCTGTTTGTCAAGAACTTGACAAAAAGTGGTAGACAAAAAGTTATCTATAACTCTCGAGTAGACATAATCATTTCCTAATTTCTAGGTCATTACAAGGATAAAACTACAGCCTAACTTGCCTCCTTTCAGAATGGTAAACTAATGGTACAATGGAATCAATACAAGTTATGGAGGGGGGAGAAGAGACTGGGAGTGGAGTACCTTTCCCTGGGCTCCACACAGAGTTGAGGGCCTAATTATTTTTAAGTATAATCCAACCAACCTCTTCTCATGCTTAGCTGCACTGAGTGACACTATTTGTGATGCCCAGTGTGTTGAAACTGAGCAGGTTGCTGTCAGTTTAAAAATGACTATAATAAAAGTGACCATGAAGATGGATCTTGTGATTTTGCGTTTCTAATCAGTCATCTGTGAAGAACACTTTTGCTTTGATTCAGCAGACTGGTGACAGCCATGATTGATAGTGCACGAGGATGAAAAAAGGTTATTAACTGTCTTCCTATTAAGCTCAATGTATTACCCCTCTAGGTGCATCTCATACTTTAAGTTAAAGTACTTACTCAGGTAAGGTCAAGAATGAACTCTATGGAGATGGTATCCATCCTGTTGAAAATGAGCAAAGCATCCTTGTACTGCTTTTTTTTTTTTTAATGTAGCATTTAAACTACATTTAATTCCATTGTCTTACTTATTGGCTAAAAAAAGAAATTTCTTTCTTCCAACAGGATCCTTACTTAAAGGTGTGGAAAGTACTAAAGGTACGGAAAGTAACTTTAAAATGTAAAGATTTGAGCATCGAGTTAAACTACCTATGTGTGTGGCACATACACAAATCTATATTTAAACAGATGGTTATGTATTTATAACCTATGAAGATATTTTTAAAGGTAGACACTAAAATTGATTTATAATTTTTAAAAATAAATGTCTGTATTGTGTTACTTATGTAAAGACTATTTTAATTTTTAGCCACCCATAAGTGGCAAGTTTATGATAAAGAAAAACTTCATAACAATTTCTTAAAAATTTAAAAGAAGGATCTATTAAAATACATATTTATTTTGGTTTAAATGTATTCTTAATTTCATCTCATTTTAATTTTCAAAACTAAAGACGGAACATTTGACAGTGATTCTGCATATCCTTGACCAGCATGCTCTACACACACACACACACACACACACACACACACATGCACACACACACAGAACTAGTATTATATAGCCTAAGGTATTTAAAATTTTCCAGTAACTGAGGACATACCATTAAATGAAATAATGAAATTGTAAATGTCACCATATTTCCTGTGTTCATTTATTCTTACAAAAGCCAAAATGTATGGACATATTTTTGAACATTTGCTAACATTTTTAAAAACATTTTAAACATACAGGTTTGGACCTAGGAGATAACTGATTAAACATACACATTATAACTTATAGTATAGGTTTCTCCTATGCCAAACACTCACCACATGTCAACTGTATTGTGAATTAGCCAAATGTATTTAAGGATATCAATAACTTGGCACTGAGGTAGCCATTTAAACTCTAACAAAATTTCCGTTCTGTGTGCTTGGTCCTTCATTGAGCAACACTGCACAGTGACACAAAATAAGAAGATGTTAGCAAAATGTTATTAGAGTTTCAATCCAGGGAAATTCATATTATGTGCAAAAGTTTTGTCCAGTGTATCATGACCTGTTTCTCCAGTGTCATTTATTAGATCCATTTTTGGTCTGTAATAAATTATATTTTGAAAATGTACTGCTTTAATATTGGGATCTATCAGCAATGAAATATAAAGCAAATAAGGAAATAAAGTTTAAGATTTCGTTGACTTTCTCCTTAGAGTTCAAAAATTGGCTGTCTTTCCTACTCTGATTAATATTGCAATTGCTCTCTTAAGCCTTTCCAGTTCTCCAGTATTTTAAGCGTACTAGTACAATTTAAATACTTACACACCGAAAGCCTCTTCATAAAAAAAGTTAGCTCAGTACAAACATTGTTTATACTGAATTGTGCTTACGTGCAATGGACTAACGTGTAGATTTTAGCATTCATACAGCATGTCCTCAATTAGACACATTCACTTCATTATTAAATGGGTTTCTTGTTCTGCCTGCTACAACTTCAGCAGGCAAACTTGCATTTGGAACTGTGCCTCGGTGGTCAGGTGACTGAGAGGGATATGTGATCAATGATGGCATTCTGTATTCTTGTACAAATACTCGTCGAAGGTTTCATAACAAAATGACAAGTTCTTAAGACAGAATATGCTGTGTTTCTCAAAAACATCATTTCCTTTTAAAATAATAAATGCACAACAATGTTCTGATCTATCTCATGATAATTAACACAGTGCTCTGAAATATTAGTGGAATTCCCATCTCCCTCCATCTGCCTGATTTGGAGTTGCTTAAGAAAACTGAGGCAATACAAAGGCCAAGTAGGCCTGAGAGGAACACATGCATTTTCTGGTCTCCTCCGTTTCTTCCCTTTATGGAATCAAGATCTAGAACGCACAATACACACAACAAATATTTTTGTGGGGGAGGGGGGGGAGGCAAAGACAGTATCAGGTAACATTTAGGTCAGTTCCAAGGCAGTTAATTAGCATAGCTAAAATTCAACTTGAGTCATATTTTGCAGAATCCAATACTGGCAGAAAATACAAATTTTAAATACAGCATTTTCCTTTATCGTTTTTGGAACTCCAGACAGAATGCTGTGTATGGTTTTTCAAGGTAGTGATAGAACTGGCAAAGGAACGTCCCCACCTTTGGGCAGACCCCCTACATCTGATTCTAAGGCTACTGTGAGTTGGTTTCATGGACTTCTGAGGCTCAAGGCATCTTTAGTTTACAGTGTCTAGGACCTAGATTCCTTTTAGTTTGAAACTCTTTTCCGCAGCTTTTCTAATCCTATACGCATCTCCCCTCTTCCTCTTTCACCTTTTCCTGTAGGATCTAGCAGGGTGCCTAACGCAGGCGTGTGCACTGGGTGGTGTACGTCTGTGTAAGCCACAACGTGGAGGCCGGCAGCTGCTGTCCACTCGCAGCTGTGTACCTGAGCGCGGTGGCCACTCTGCTCTTCCGCCCAGCCCACTCCTGCCTGCAGTGTTGCTGCTGTCACGCCAGCCGGTGATTTGATAGGCTTGTCGGGTTGCCATGGTGTTGACTTCTTGCCTCTGAGGAGCTGCCCAATGACTGGAGGTCTGGGATTAAAAGCGGCCACAGCGAATTTCAGCGGCAGCTGCAGCAGCTAGAAACAAGAAGCGAGAGGACGAGGTCTTTAGACTGCGCTCCCCTCCCGCAGTCTGGGCTGCCAGTGAGGGAAGTAGAAAGGGTGGACGGTCGAAATGGTGACCACTCGAAGGCAGAGGTTACAAGTAAGGGTTTTGAGACCCGCTTAGGAATAACTCGTAAGCAATCTGCACGCGCAGAGAGGAAAAATTTTCCAGAATTCGTTATTATCCACACCAGACCTTACCAGCATGGGTGGTGGGACTGAGAGTAAAAAGGTGATATAAGGCATCTCAGTGGTTGATACATTCCCCCCCCCACGCCCCACCCTTCATTTGAGCAACGAAGTAATTTGTCAAATAAAGAGGCGTTATCCGGAGAACTTCTGATCATGGCAACTAACTTACTCTGAGAAGAGAAAGTGCAATTAGACGGCAACCCAGTCAATGAACAGAGTTGCCTGGGATTGCGGCCGGCGGGGCGGCGGACTCCGGGAGTGCATGTGCAACGCACAAGCCCAGACGGAAATTGTAAACTCGGAAATGAAAGGGAAAGAAACCGCTTCTGTTATAAATTAGTAGGTAGGTGAAGGTTACGCAAAGAAGAAAAGGGAAAGTAAAGCTGTTAAAAGAATAGAATAAAACCCCTGGGAGTTCAACTCCAAATCCCCCCTCATTCCCCAATCCAAGGGGAGTAGGAGGAGGAGGAAAAGCGTGCATTCTGGTGTGATGAGAACTCTCTGGAATGTCTGGAGGAGAGGATAGAAGTGCGAGGGTAAGAAGACCCGGGTGCTAAATAAATGGCTGGAGAGAGGGATGGGGGAGGGGCGGGAAGGAAGAAATAGTCGGCGATTCACCCAAGGGATTGAGAGATCCAGAGGAGTGAGATTCCAGTGGAAGGAAAAGAACGGAAGTTCAGGCTGGTAGCGTAAAGAAAAGAGGAAACAGCAAGAGTCAGTGAGAGAAAAGGAGGAAAAGGTGTGTGCTGCTGGGGCAGGGCGTGGGAAGGCAACCACAGGCAACTGGAAGGAGACCCCGCTAGCACGCCAGGCAGAGAGGGCAGAAGGTGGAGACAGGCAGTCGCCCAGAGCACCCCGGGGCAGGACCCGCGCGCTGCGAGCCAGGTGCCCCGCCACCCGCAACCCGGCTCCGGGCGACGCAGGGACTTTTCTGGCACGGAGAAGAGCTGCTCCATCAGCCTGCCGGAGTCACGATTCCCCGCGAGTCCCAAACACACGCCTCACTAACTACTTTACAGCCACTTTCATTGATTTTCTTTAACAAATAAACATAATACCCGTTCTAGCAACACTTCCTCTTGCCGCAGCTAGAAACGCCATCATCTCTGAAGGCAGCCTGGCTCCGGACAGCGGTGGTTCTCATCTCCAAATAAATCGTTTGCCTTCACTTCAAGTTTAAAGAGGCTAGCCCTCGCCCCCCTTTACAATTTGGGAATCACCTTTTAGAATAAGTAGAAGACAGGTCCAGGCACAACTTCACAAACCTAGTAATGCGCACTTATTTTATTTGCATATTAATTTTTGCTAATAAGTAACTCAGTTTAGAAGAAAAACATCGGCAAAGACATTGACTCCTTTGCAGCTGCAGGGAAATGAACACTAGTCCCGGAGCATACCTAAAGCCACTATCCTTGAGTGGTCTCCAAAAATATTCCTTTAAAATAAAGTATTTATTTTAAAGTAGCCCCCCTTCAAAAGCCTTTTCTGCTCGAGGTTCTTCCATACATGTCAAAGGGTTGTTGAATTATTCATTATTGTAATTACTATCATCATTGTCATTATCCCTTTCCATGTGGAAATAATTTTATTATCGTAATTTGATATCTGAAGAATTTCCTGTTAGTCGTTTGATAATCATTTTTTTCTGCTGAAAAGAAAAGTTTTGTTTATAAATGAGATAGAGAAAATGTTTTAAATGCTTTGATGTTTGCTATAGATTTCCGTTTATCTAATCGATCGGAATGCCAATAAAATCGATTAAAGGTTTAGTGTTTTACAAACAACCATTTTGTGCTTTTTGATTTTACGTTGAGAATGATTTTAATAAAGCTAATGCTTTCCTTTACCATTCTGCCTTTTAAAAAGCCTAAACCGGCTCCGTTTTTTTCTTTTATTATGAGAAGTTGCCACTTAAAGTTCTCCTAATAGGAAATTAAACAAAAATATAAGCAATGGCTGAAATGGTTTAAATTTCATTCTCTTGTTGCCCAAGGTATTTAAATAAAGCCCTTTAAAATCTTGGTGAATTATATGCAATCATTCGATGATTGCAGAATATTAAATTAAACTTAGATAAATCCGCATTGAAGGAGGCAGCACCCAATCCTGAATTTATTTCCCATTTTCTCTAACAGCATCACTGCGCGCCTCTCTTTGCAATGACAATGTGCCAAATCTGGGCATTTTGAAAACATTTTCCATATGCTTTAACAGGGGACTGATAGACAAAGAAGAAAAGGAGATGATCTTTTTGCTCTGAGGTATATCTTCTTTAACCTTTTTCTTAAGACTTTCGCTGATAATCATTTTGAAGCAAAAGTTTGAAAATCTAATTTAATGCATTTTTTCTTTGGCTTTCACCACCCCCCCCCCGCCACCGTTTTTCTATTTATTCCTGAAATGGAGTTTTGGTTATAATTTGGTGTAAAGCTATCATTTCTATACCTTGGGAAACAACTTTTTGTTTCAAAATCTTTCATTTTTTTAGGTTTTGTTTGTTGTCTTTGATAATTAAAGATGGATTTAATCATGCATTTTGTAACTTAGCTCAGATGGGCTGTTTGCTATAGGGTTTAACGGTGCTTTTCTATCTAAGGTTTAGGGACATTACATACAATGGTGGTGGCTTTTCTTCAACTATGAGTATCTGCACGTTTGTCTTAGAAATGTGGGTGTTTGGATGAATGCAATGTCCTGCTTTGAAATCATTTTATTTCATGGCTGAAGTTTACTGTATTGTCTATACAGCATTTTATTGACTAGGTATTGATGCTTTTAGGTTAAAAAGATACCCTAACTTTATTTCCTCTTCAATGAAATCTGAGTTGTTATTTCTCGCTTTCTCTTTTTCTTATTTGTCTATCTTTTCCCATCTGCCTTGCCTCCTGGAGCTCTTCCCCAGAGTGTAAAATGTTTGTTGGATACTTTTGCTGAAAATATTTCTACTTGTAGTTGAGGAGGAGATGCTGTGGTCTTGGGTTTGGGTGAGGTGAGTGTGTAGGATGCGGTGTGCTGTGGTGGGGGGAGGAGGGTGATAAGTGGTCCTCCTTCATCTGCAAAGAGCATGGAAGTGCTGTGAAATTAGCAAGCTGCTGTTGTTTGGGGAGAGTTGTGCCTGATTTTGTTTGTAAACACTGGGCTGGTTGCCTAGAGGGAAAAAAAAAGAGGTCACAGGACTGTCTGAAGGCTGCCCTGTGAAAGGCCAGAGGGCGTCTGACTCCTCTCTTCCTCCTTTCCCTTCTCTCCCTGAATTCTTCCTCCCTCAGACCTTCTGGAACTCCCCCCTCCTTCCCCATTCCTCTCTTTACCTGTTCCTAAGTTTACATAAATGACTTCTCCCCACAGAAAGGTCAGAACCTCCAGAGGGGGGAAAAAGGCTAAAACAGATGTATTTTGAAATACCAAAAGTGGACTTTAGGACAAGAGGAAATACACATGGCTATAGAAGGACAGAGACCGAGACCTGGGCACAGGAGGAGGGCATTTTTATGATTCACACAAACAAACAAACATAAACGAGATAAGAGCAGGGTTGGAGGAGGGGAAGAAATCAGGGAAGGATTTAACTGCCCACAAATACTACACACATACCTGTGCACTCAAAATGCCTTCTCTTTTGAATTTCATCTCCTCTAGCTCACTCTCACCATCAAAGAGTGGCCACCAGAGGGCGTCTGACTCCTCTCTTCCTCCTTTCCCTTCTCTCCCTGAATTCTTCCTCCCTCAGACCTTCTGGAACTCCCCCCTCCTTCCCCATTCCTCTCTTTACCTGTTCCTAAGTTTACATAAATGACTTCTCCCCACAGAAAGGTCAGAACCTCCAGAGGGGGGAAAAAGGCTAAAACAGATGTATTTTGAAATACCAAAAGTGGACTTTAGGACAAGAGGAAATACACATGGCTATAGAAGGACAGAGACCGAGACCTGGGCACAGGAGGAGGGCATTTTTATGATTCACACAAACAAACAAACATAAACGAGATAAGAGCAGGGTTGGAGGAGGGGAAGAAATCAGGGAAGGATTTAACTGCCCACAAATACTACACACATACCTGTGCACTCAAAATGCCTTCTCTTTTGAATTTCATCTCCTCTAGCTCACTCTCACCATCAAAGAGTGGCCATCCTCAATGGTAGGTCATATTTTAAACCAACCACCCCCCCCTAGCTTTTGCTAGTCCTCACAAAAACATACTTTGTTTAAAGTGATGAGATTTGGCTTCCTCATCTCACACATAAACACACACACACTATTTCTTGAATTATTTCACTGTAAATTTAATGTTTCTGTGACACCTTCCCAAACAAGACCTGCACTTTCCATTTACTGTCAACTTCACATCTCTTACACACAAACTCCCCACCTTCTCAGCAACTCTCCCTCCCCCAACCAAATGACTGACATGAGTATCAGGTTTTAGTGTGTTTGGGAATAGAGATGTGAGTTAAACAAAAATGTTAGTTAACACACTGCCTTCGTTAAACAGCCCCCGGGTGGAGAAGACCCAACATGAAGAGGAAAGGGGAGGGGCAGGGGGGGGTGGCTGAGGATCTGAAAGTGTCTGCGGAGCTATAAAGGGTTCCTAACGCTGAAATCTTGTAATACCTCGTTTCAAACTGAGCTCATCTATAGACCCTGGAAGCGCGGTCAAAAGACTGGGAACCTTTTCCCCTTGGACTGGAGTTGGTCTTGAGCTGGAGGCACTAGGGGGAGAGGGAGGTGGGGTATTTGTTAGTGAATTGG